TGATCGAAGTGTCGAGCACAAGTGACTGGATTGTTTCTTATCCATGTACACTTTTCCTCCCAATATATTTTCTCAATGGCATCAGTGAAGTTTTGGCCATATTGCCTGGCGATTGAGGAAATAACCTCTGACCACCTTGAGCCACTTGCGGATAAGGTTCGAAACCATGAAGATATTCCTAGTTGCCGAACCATGGCAAGCAGATCGAGGAATGTTCTTGCCCGTAAGATGGAGTATCACGGCTTTAAAAGGGTGTTGTCTCAAGTTCTTCAGGAAGATAGGATCTTTCAAATTTTTTGCATTTAAAACTTTTCCTGCCACCTGTGTTCCACGGGACTGACAAATATCAATACTTATCTCTGAATTCAATTGGTTTGCCTCTGTCAAGTATTGGGCCATCAAGAGATATGAACCATCCTTACATAATCGTCCATCAACATTCATCAGACGCTGGAAGATCTTCAGAGTTTCACATCTGTTTGACAGAGCAGATGTGACATATGTTGGCACAGAACCCAAATTATATTTATTCGGGTTGACCAGATCCTCAAAATGTTCGCTTGTCATGAATGGTATCGGTTTTTTCCTCTTGCAGGTAACTTTCGTAAGGGATTCCCCGAAGCCTGCAACTGTCGTAGAAGGCATTACGATCTTCCTCGTCTTCTTTCTCTGCCTCAGAATTTCCTATCCGTGCAGGAAGGGCACCTCAATCTTCGTTGCGCCTTTCATTCTGCACAGCACTAGGCATAGCTTTGGCTGAGGATGCATGAGGTGGAGATCCCACATCATTTTGTATTTCCTGACATTCATCGTGGACTCTTGCGGGAGACAGTTGTTCATCGTTCTGCAAGGTTACGTAATGCACCCCACCTGTCAGTCCTAGGTTGATTGTTCTAGTGCTCTCAGGACTAAATGGTTCATAAACGATACACTCAGGATATGGCGTGGCTATGATGGCGATTGTGATATATGCTACAGGGTGTCCGATTTGTCAGGAATCATAAGTTTTTGTGGTCTAGCCTATGACCCAGGAGGCATAGCCTTGTAAGCCTAGCGCATTAGGGTCATACGCGCGAAGCCTATTAGGCTATGGCTTTCTGGGCCTTAGGTCTGGCACAAAAGTCAATGAATCCTGATATAGTGGATGTAGATTTTCTATGCTTTGTACCACCAATTCATTATTATGGATACATAGTCAACAATGGGAGAGGGCGGCTGCTCGCGGTCGCGTTGGCAGGGTTGCTGGGCGTTCGCATGAACTGCTGCATCCAGCATCCTACACTTGAGACTCTTCTCCCATCTCCACGCGACGCGGATTCGCGAAGCATCGAGAACATGTCTATTTGTCTGGGCCTTTTCATATACTGTAGGCCTATGCAGTATCAACGAAAGCCATTATTTCAAGGTTATATGGTTTGGATGCGAGGAAGATGAGAGTGTCAGTGGAATGGTAGGTCTATATCTGGGCTGGTGCTCTCGTTTTTTTTTTAGTGGGCCTTCTTTCCTGAAAGGAAATAGATAGTTAATTCTATTCCTGTCCGTCCGTGTTTCACACGTAGGTTGTCCGACGATAACTAAAAAAAATATTGGCCTGATCAATGCAAAAATTGGCAAGTGGGTAAATATGAAGAAGATGCAGGCTGAGTTCGTTTTGTGGCGAATTAGCACCAAAATTAAATCAACCTTTAACCTCCAGGGCATGTACTTCAATGCGCATGCGCGGACGACCCGGGACCGGTGCCGTGTCTGCAACCAGTGCTGTCATTTCTCTACTAGCCTTCTTGGCGGATGGATCTAACTAGATAAGCGGAGTGGGATGCAGCACCTGTGCATGCCAGCGTAGAAATGGTCGCTAGGGTAAAACTCAAGTTAGGACACTATGACGTAATTGTTAAAAAAACCAAAAATTGGTGAACTCTCCCTCTGCAATAGTTCTTCGCAGCATGGAAGAGCTGTTTCTGAGGGTAACCTCGTAAAAGGTGTGTTTTATAACTATTCATTCTATGGTGCCCGCACTTAGGTACTGTCCGAACTTAATAGTTTTACCCTAAACAAACTTGTGCCGAGACTGCTACACATTACACTTTCCTTTCATCTTCCGACCTCTACCTTCTGGGCACGTAGTCTTCTTGATTGTCATGGTTATTTAGAAGGAGGCCCACTACAGGATTGGAATTGCCAAACGAGTTAAGAAGGCATGAGAGCATAAAGCGTTAAAATGGTCGTTTCTGAAGGCGAGAGCTCTATTTAATGACTTCCTTTCCTGAAATGCAAGAGACCATGTATGGTCCCGTTCGTGTTTCACACTTAGATCGTCCGACGATAACTAAGAAAACATTGGCCTGATCAAAGCGAAAATTGGGAAGTAGGCTGAGATGAACAAGATACGGGCTGAGTTCATTTTGTGGCGAATTCGCCACAAAATTTCCATTTTTATCGGGAATTTTACATTTGCTCGCGGGGGGAGGGGTGGGCAGGTATGAGTTTTCGAGAGCCCTTTAGAATGTGAACCATAATGCGCATGCGTGTAAGACCCAGGCCTTCGGCACAGCGCCGTGTCCCCAACAAGTGTTGTCAGTTCTCTACTCGCCTTCGTGGCAGATGGATCGAACCACGTACAATCCTCCATCATCACTTTAGGAACACCATGAGTAGATTTACCAAATCTCACTGAGAAATGAGATTTTTGATGGTCGAAGATCGGAAAACGACGTTATTTTGAGCTTCACTACTGGAATGGGCTTGCCCATCTTGTTTCCATTCCCTCAGTTCGCAGTATCCATAGCAACCGAACAACACGACTCACTGCGCATGTGCCACTCTTCCACTAAAATATCCACTTCCCTTCAATCCCCTGCGGTTGACGGATCCCTAATCCAATTGGAGAGAGTGGCTGCTTGAATTTTTTATTATTGGGTCGAAAGTTCGAAAAGTCGAACCATTTTGAAGCCATGGGACCTAATTTCGGCGATAAGAATAGCATTGTACCGAATGTCTTCCCGATCGAAGTGCACAACCAACGATGAGAGTACGAGATATTGTCGGCTACGGAAGTTGTTGCTATGGCAATTGCTTGCAATGATCCTATGTCTTAGTTTGTCGCGTTACAAGTCACGTCCCCGGTTTGCTTCACGTCAGTTTCCAGCATTTAGTTAGTGCTCTATATTATTCTTATTTTCAATTTTGATGTTCTCAAATGCCACGAAAAAGGTGGTCAAGTGTAAAGTACTATTCTGCGGCGGGATCTACTGAACGTGCGAGAAAGGGAGAAGTTCTGGAGTCGCAGTCAGTGGATGTGCGTGCACGACGACGTGCACAAAATGCCTGCTTCGCAGGTTGCTTCCAGGAACGGTGAAACGGACGAAGAAAGAGCAGAAAGACATGCACGAAATGCGCTAATTCGACTTTTTCCGGCCCATGCTTGCATGGGCTTTTACACTAGCTTTCCTATAAAACCGAGTTTCCGAGAATTCTTCTCACGGCATAGTGCATACAGGGTCTACTCTCCGAATTCGGTGCTCCGATACCGATGGCATGGACATAGTATAGTTCTCCGAGCGTTTGCATTTATGGGCGCTTATGGTAACATCAACTGGTTCGAAGTTTCCTTATGGGGAAATGCATCACCGAGTTCTGGGATCCCATCAGAATGAGAGAAAAAAAATCCTGCCAGATACCCGATCGTGGCAGGGAATTACCCGATGGCACTCGCTATTCCTGGATCTGGCATCCCTGCAGAGCACCTGTGATGACTTCTGTGAGCTCGATCTTCGGTGCGTGGGCATGAAAGAGCCCTTCCCTCCCCCGTTTAGGGTGCAGTACACAGCAAATAATAAAGGTGAGATCCCGCACTCGTAAGGGTGTGCATGATCACCATGGTACCCAGCACCCCCCGATGGTGGCATGGCCACCCTTGGGTGCAAATGCCTCACCCTCTTTTCAAGATAGCATCTATTTCTCGATAAGACAACAGGCACCCGTCAGCATCGCCCCAGGCAAAATAAATATTCCCTTGGGATCACTCTCCATTGCTCACCTTTCAGAGATTCATTCCCACCTTTCATAATTTCATGACTGACTAAATACTGCGTCAATCAAAATGACAAACCATCAGATTCAGTTAATGTGAATTAATGTGAATGTGAATTAATTCGCCCCTGCTTTGCTCTCACAACGCCGAGAGTAAGCGGCCGACACGGCCACGTCGATGCCAGGTCTCTCACACGAGGTCTTTTGAAATGATAAGAGGTTAGCGGAAAAGGATGTCAATTTATTTTTTAAATTGTTCTCAGCGACCGAGGGGAAGTCTCCAAGAAGGAATTGCAGCCCATTGACAAGAGGAAGTTGTCTCTCGGTGGCGATTGGAGAACGTCTTTCGAAGTCAGTAAGGCGTTTCTTGGCTCACTGGAGCCGGAAAATGGCTTCGAATTCCAAACCAATCGTTTTTTTTATCTATCCGGACCGAGAATGAAGCACCCGACGGTTCTAAGTATCAGATGTGGGACTTTCCTCCTCGCGGCGCGTTCCCATTGGGAGGAACGCAGGTGTGCACGTGGCGGTCGTTTCCAGCCAATGGTCGGGAAACAACCGCGTTTTTTTTTTGCGAATCCGAATATGTATATGACCGCCACGGCTCGCGGGTCGAGAGTCGCCGTATTCACAATAGCAACCACGTCGAAAATGGAATCGTTTTTCGGTTTCCTCCTCGTCTTCGTCGTCTCCGTCCAGGTTCGGGTTTTCTCTCGCGGCTGCCGCGGAAAGTCGCGAGTCGCCCTCGCCCCAAAACATCAATTTTTCCATCTGCTCTCTCTCTCCCCCCCCCCCCTCTCTCTCTCTCTCTCAGGGCGAGGAGACAAACGGAGCGGATGTCTTCCGGCCGTTCCCGTCGCTGAGGCAAAGTCAGTCCATTCCTTTTACTATACATTATACATTTTATATATATACCTATATATACATATGAAATATATCGTTTATAGAAAACATATAGATCCAACTCGAAAATGTTGGGCTTTCCAGATCCTTCGTGCGGTTCGAACCTGAACCTCGCGTCCGGGACGTCCTCGCCGTTGATCAGCGCCAACTATCCCGGAAATTACCCGTCTTTTCACTATTGCTCGTGGAAGTTCACGGTCAGTTCCTTCCGTTCTGCGGGTTTCCACGAAATCCGGATTTATTTCGAGCCGGATGCGGATTAAATATCGGTCGTCGTAAGTAATTGGAAGCCATTTATGTGTCTTTGTCTGCGTTTTGGTCTCAGAGCGCGTTTGACGCGAAGGGAACGCGGTTCGTGGGCTCAGAAGCATTTTTTTCCGCGGGGCGCGGCGGAGCCTTTTACGGACGTTCCGCGGGAGCTTCTGTTCCTACTTCCGCGCGTCGTCGCCTCCTTGTTCCTTGAAATTTGTGACGAAAATTTTTTTTTTTCTATTGTGTTCGGTTTCCAGTGTCCCGAAGATATAACGCTCCTGTGCTCCTCCTTCCAACTCCCAGTCACTCTCTTGTGCCTGCAGTCCGCCTTCATTTACAATAACAAATGGTAAGATTCGGAACGTTCCGGCTGCGCTTCGGAACGTTCCGGCTGCACGAATCCCATCGCCTTCCAGGCTGTGCGGGACGTCGACCCAGCTGCTGACGAAAGTGAACGTGGGAAAAACCCTGAACGCCATCCTCTTCAGCGTCGGGAGAAGCGGACCGGGATTAAAATGCACCGTCGCCTGCGGTCAGTCCGCCGCTGCATGCTTTCTTTCTGCAATCGCATAATTATTAGGGAGGAAAAACAATTATTATCAGTCGTTTCTATCGTGTTCGCATTGCGTATGAATATGAATGGGTGTTGCATGTAATAACTGGTTGCTATACTCATTTCAGGCCCGCAACCACCTCCCTGCAGTAAGTCAACGTAGCGATTCTCCCGACATCCTCGCCGGAAAACGCTGTCGCTTCATGGAATCTCGTTCGGTAGATTGCGGGGTCTCCCAGAGTGGGGGAGGAGCAGGTCGGAGGAGCGGGATGAGCAAGAGGAGCGACCCGGCGTCGGGCATCGACCGGATCATCGGAGGCACGCCCGTTCCCTCTCAGCTCAAATATCCCTGGATGGCGTGGATGGTGAACGCCTCGGGGCAATTCACGTGCGGGGGATCCCTCATCAACGACCGATACGTCCTCACCGCCGCCCACTGCGTCTCGTCCAAGTGAGGCACCCCTCTCTCCCCCACCCTTCCCTCCCCCGGCCACTAGGGGTTAAAGGATGTAAGAGCGTTTCTTTCGCGGTCGCAGTCCGTCGGGGACCTTCATGGTGACGCTGGGAGACCTAGACAGATCGACTTCGACCGAGAGTCGTTCGATCCAGGTCGCGGCAACGGCCATCGTGCATCCGGGGTTCGACGCGCCTACTTCCCTCAATAACGACGTCGCTCTCCTGAAGCTCACGACTCCCGTCGACTTCAACGCGAATCCCAACATCAGGCCCATCTGCATCTCGTCCGCGGCCGTTCCGAATCCGGGGGACACGGTCACGATCGCCGGGTGGGGTCGCGTGGCGGAACAACGTGGGTCGACTACAGGGAGTCGCCGCGAATCGTCGTGATTCCGTCTGACGTAAAAATGTCGATTTCGATTGCAGAAGATCCAGTCTCCTCGGTGTTGCTGGAGACGAACGCGACGGTGATCGATTCGAAGACTTGCCAGAGCTGGTTCGGAAACGACGCGAATGACAATTTCTTCTGCGCGCAGAACGCGGGGAAGAATATTTGCAACGTAAGTGAAATTATTAATCAATCGGTAGGTGTTGAATATACTGGGACGAAAAATGTGCTCCCAGGGAGATGCTGGTGGACCGGTCATGTTCCGGACTTCAAACGGAACCGTCCTGAACGTGGGGATCAACTCGTTCGTCATCAAGGGATGTTTCACTCAATTCGGAGGAGCCTACGTCAAAACAGCGAGTAATTATGAGATTCCGATGTAATTCCCTTTTTTTCCCGCGGCGGTGTTCTTTGTAGAGGAAATGTTTTTGTTTCAGACTACGTGGACAGCTTCATCAAGAGCAACACGGCGGACGCGCTGTGGTGTCCGGCGGCCTGATCGTTTCCTTCGTTTTCCGCGTGTTCTTTTCGTTTTCAGACTTTTCGTCCTGGGAATTGGTCGTGCGATGTGCATCTTTTTTTTCATCGAGAGTGAATTATATTCTTTTCTTTCTTCCAGCAAGCGTTTCCATTCGATAGTTCCCCGTTGTTCGTGGTGGAAAAGGGCGAAAGACGGTATTTCGCGTTTCCCGCTGAAATCGTCCACATTTCGCTCTCTTGCGGTTGTGTTGGGAGTTAAAACTGTTATGGACTGTGATGAATTCTAATGGACTGTAATGGAGAGGAATCAATGGGGGGGGGGGCATCTCGGGCGCGTTTTGCGTTTCTGGATTCCTGGGAACCTGCGAGTGCAGATCGGCGCTTCCACATCTTCGGCATATGTGTTACATCTGTTACTTCGTGGCTCGTTCCCTCCTGAAATCAGAGGTTAATAAAGAGAATTCTCCCACACGTTCCGATGTGTAGTGCATTTGAACGATTACCAGAGGATATTTGGAAGATTATCGAGCGGCATCTTCCGAAATATTCCAGAAATTGCGATGGAATCTTAGCATGAGCAGGAGTCGGATCGCTTCCATATCTTCGGCATATATATTACATCAGTTTCTTCGTGGCTCGTTCCTTCCTGAAGTCAGTGGTTAATAAAGAGAATTCTCCCTCACGTTCCGATGTGTAGTGCATTCGAATGATTACCAGAGGATATCTCGAAGATTTTCGAGCGGCATTATCCGAAATATTCCAGAAATTGCTATAGAATCTTTGCATGAGCAGGAGACGGATCGCTTCCAAAGGTTTGCTGAAAGGATGAACCGATTCGCAAGCATTAATAAGAAGATAAAATAATAATAATAAATAGCTAGACGAAATCGAACTCTTGTCGAACGCTTTCCTTGCACCCACGAAAGACCGCATCGGAATTGAGACGATCTCAGCCTCCAAATCGCGAGGCCGAACGGGCTTTAGACCTCCTCCCAGAGCGGAAGGGAAAGACTGGATTGGATCGGGAAGATGTTGCGCGCGGAGAATCTGGGCGGAAGAAAGCGAGTGGAGCTTGTGCGGATGGACCTCCGCCACAGCCATACTCGAGTCGCCTTAAGCATTGGCACGTTCCATGGGCAGGAGAGGAATCCTATGCAATATGCACAATTTACGCCTGAAAGTTTTTAAATTGAAATTTTCACGTGCTGGCTTCTGAGGCATCTGTGAAAATCGAAAGTAAATTGCTGGTGCATTTAATTGAACCTCGGCGAATGGCGAAAGAATTGCAAACCTCATAGGAATGTACATACCGTCCTGGACCCAAAAGAGGTTCCCATCGCTTTCTCATCGACGACAGAAATGAAGAACGAAACGAGCGGGATTGCATTGGGTTGCCAAGATCAGCGTATCGAGAGCGTCGTCGAGGAATTTCCCTTCTACTATTCGGTATCCGGCAGTCTCTCCCTCGTATGCCGATACCCATGCGGTTACGAAGCTGAAACCGGCCAGGCCATGTTACCGCCTCAGAGCTGTACGTGCAGCGAAGTCACCGAATTTCCTCACATCACGGGAGGAATTCCGACGATCGTCAATTAATCGGACTGCTATTCTACGCAGCCTCTCCTGCAAGCGATCGTCTCCTCTCCGGTCCGCGAATGTCGGCACGGGGGTCTAAGGATTAAAAAAAAAAACTTGCCAGAGTCGTTCAGGTGGCCAGAGTTAAAAAAAAGTCGATTTTGCGAACTGGAACTGAATTTTTTTTCATCATCACTGAGCATCTGCGTACCAATTAGCGTCCCCAACACATTTAATGACTATGTGACTGTCTACTTGCACGTCGCACGTGTCACGGCGGCATTTCTGGCATCGACGAAATATAATTCTTTTTGGGGACGCATAGCTGATGAAGTTCAAATCTGATCAATCTGAGGTTCAAATCTAGACTAGGATTGAGAAGAACCCTCGTGAGAACGCGAAGTTGCACAAAACGGTTGCTGGTAATATTAGGAAATTTAACTTATTATTACGATAAATTATTTATCCTTCGAGTGAAGCCGATCGAAATCAGTTCTCCTGCCGACAGAGGGCCATCGGAGAGAATGAGAATGAAAGCGGCAAAATACAGGGTGCTTCAGAAGTCGAGCACTATAGTTTTATACGACATAAAATGGTTTTAGGTAATGCTTAGTCGCTTTTAGTAACAGTTTTGGTCCGGCACGTTGTCCATCTTGAACAATGCGGAGTTCGATCCTGTTTCTGCTCGCAGATGCGTGGGATATCGGTTATCGGTCAAGAATAAATAAAATCATTAAATCTTCTTGGTACCTCACCATTACTTGCACTCCCACACGAGAGAACGATCTCCATTCGCTCGTCTTTAGTTAATGCCTTAATTAATCAACCTGCAACAAAGGAAAAAGTTTTTTCCATGTGGTAAAAAAATTAATAAATCATATATGGTGCTCGACTTCTGGAACACCCTGTACGTCAAGTGCGAGAGCGGAAAATCCAAGTCTGGATTGCAATCCAGGTAAGTGAGGGAATCCGCACTTACCGAGGTTTCACACCTTGGAACGTGAGATGTGCAATTGCAAGTCGATGGATTGTGGATTAGGTCTTGGATTCCAAGGCCTAATCCAATTCCTTAGGGAATCTCTGCTCGGTGTTCATCCGTCCGATGCGTTCCTGTATCTGCACCCTTACGGAAATGTCCTATAGGAAACCTATAGACTTTCCTATAGGTTTTTGAAAAAGTTAATTGATTGCTACAATGAGGCAAGGCGAGACATTAGGGGACGTACAAAACTCTCTTGTGAGGGATGATTCCTTGGGTAAGGGGAGGGCACTTTTGTGCCCTTTGAGAAATGTGAGAAGCCAATCCTTCCATCTAGTGGCCTAGGGGAGAACTTCAAAAGGAACCATATAGGCCTATAGGGATCCGTATCAGCCTATAGGTCCTATTCCTATAGGTCCTATAGGGAACCCTATAGGTTTTATAGGGAACACTACGGGTCCTATACAGAACCCTTTGGGCCCTATAGGGAACCTATAGGCCTTATGGGGAACCCTATTGGTTCTATGAGGAACCCTATAGGTTCTATAGGGGGATCTATACGTTCTATAGGGAACTCAATAGGTTCAATAGGGGACTCTATAGGTCCTAAACTGAACTCTATAGGGCATATAGGATCCTATAGGATTACTATAGGAGTCCTATATATTCCTAAAGGAATAATAAAGGAATAATAAAGAAAAGACATTTTCGTAAGGGCAGATAGCCATTTCTCGAATGTAAGCCATCTCTCGAATGTAAACCATTTCTTGGATGTAAAGCCATTTCTTGGATGCGGCATCTTTTCCTGCTTGCGGCGATCATTCGTTTTAGCCACTGCCGGGAACACTAACGATAACAGGAGGCGAATGCAAGTCACGGGGAAATGGTCTTACTAAACATTTTTTTTAAGTCAAGTTTTTCTTTTCGACACGAAGAATATGAAGTTCGATCTCAGGGGTGCTGAAAGGTTCGCTTTCGAAACCGATCTCTTCACGATTGGCGTGCAGATCGGTGAATCTCAACTGCCAACTCAAATATGCACGGATGAGCGAGTTTTTTTGCGATTTGTTTGTGCTCCATGCGAAGTCAGGAATGAATGAAGAATGAGCAGAAAGGAATGCCGTGGGGGGTTTTGGACGCGTTCGCTGGCGGAAACCGCGCCGGGACGGGACGCGCTGCCGCGCTTTCACCCGGAAAGTTCGCTAAATTGCTGACGTGGATCGGGAATGCCACATTGACGGGTTTCTGGTCCCGGAAAATCTGCATTCGCGAGATCTGGGATGGAAATGTGTGCCAGAAAGACATTCGTGGCAGGGCAATTGCTTGACACCAGTCGCGAGTCGAGCGCCTGGCCGAGACGAATTGCACCTGCGACGATTTGCATCTGCGACGATTTGCACCTGCGACGATTTGCACTTGGTGCATGGCCCATTCACACGAGGGCGAGGAAAAGCCACTGCTCTCGTCGAGATCATCAGCGAAATCCCATCGGAAATTTTATCTGCCCATGAGGGCGATTGAGTTTGTGTTATATATATACATATATACAGCATGGTGAAAGGAAATTCTTAAGTTCCATCTTCACGGTTCTAAATACATCAGCACGAGATGAAATTAGCTTCTCCATTTAGTTCAAGAAAATCTGCACGACTTGATGACGTCACACGGTGCGTGGACTCACACGAGAGACGGTTAGAAGTGCTGGGGCTCCCGCGGGAACTCATCAAAGATTTTTGAGGGCATGGATATGCGTTATGCGTTATGCGGTATGCGTTTTTTTCCCGCCGAATGGCGAGAACCGGTTCGAGTCGCGGAAGCCGCGGGCGAGTCTCTGCAGGCGGTCTGGTAACCGAGCGGTCTCGGTCAAGTAACTGCGGGGCGATCGCGCTTCTTCCGTTCCGTCTTCGCTCTCTTCTGAGACGCTGCATCGTGGAACCAATTTTCGGTCCGACCGGCATCGACGCGAAACATTACGAACCTCTTCGGTCGGTACCGCGTGAGTCGGAAACGATACGAGAACTAAGCATCGGTCGGCATTCAAGGAAGACCATATATATGTCGTATTTGCTCAATTGCTGCAGTGAACACCTTTCACTGTTCGGAACGATCGGGACAGTTAGACGAGTAAAATGCATTCGCATTCGTACGCATCATTGTGGAAGGAAATTCAATTAATTTCCGCCCTCTTTTCACCTACTCGGCGAGAAGAGCCATAGATCCGCTTTAAATGTTTCTACGATGGAATGAGACGGACGTGGAAATCGTTATTGTCGACACCTCTGGACACGGAGCCTGATGGTTTGAGCGGATCGTAATGGCTCGAATGACCCAGAAGGGGAAATTTTTCATTTCAAGGCATTTTGCCGAAATTTGTTCTAGCTAACCCGAGCAAGATCGGAGAGGCGCTCGAAGCACGATTGTGGCTAATTATCGACTCGGTTCAATGCCCGAGTCCAATGGTTTAGCCGAACCAAACGTCAGGGAGGATTCGTCGATCGGCCCTGGGTCGAACGATGTGCGGCCCATGTTTCGCACGAGTGAGGCTTTTGAGTGAAACGTGGGTCGGACTCGAATTCCGATCTGAATATTAA